ACGTAATACTCTCTCTCTCTCTCTCTCTCTCTCTCTCTCTCTCTCTCTCTTCTCTCTCTCTCTGTCTCTCTCTCTCTCTCTTCCCAGGCACAGGAAATCGACGAGGATCGATCGTGGATCGTGCCTCTCTCGAGAAGGTTAAACGATGGCCGATGAAATAATCTCCGAATCTCCTCCTCCTCCTCCTCCTCCTCCAGCTTGATCTTTTCAACGGGAGGGACGCGACGACGGGCGGAAGATTTTTACGATTCTTTCGACGATCGACCGATCGATCGATCGATCGACCGACGGAATTACGCGATTAAGGGAGAAGCTTGGATACCGTTTACGAGAGGAACACGTGTACCGTAAAGCCCACCCTGTATATCGCGCTTCGAGATATCTACGAGGCGCACGCGATGATCCAGAAAGGGAATGACTTACGCTCATTGAACGCAGCGTTGAGACACAGCACAGTTTTCACGCTCCCCGACGAATCACGCGACTGCTCGAATGGAACACGAAGGAGGAGGACAATCGTCAGAATTTCTCTCGTTCTTTTTCTCTCTCTCTCCCCTCCCCCCTCCTCCTCCCCCTCCTCGCCGAAGAAACTAAGCTAATTAGACGTTCGAAGATCGAATGCTCGGCTGTTCATTAGCAAAGGGAAATAGATCGGACAATAGAGAGAATATCGTGGCTTAGAATTTCGTGGTGCACGAAACTAGAGAAGCAGATTCCTATCGTTCCTTCACTGGGTAAAGGTGAAGGGAAAGATAAAGATAAAGACTCGATGCTCGTCGATTATTCACACCGGGGGCTCTTTCCGTTTAATTTATTAAATCCTGCTTAGTGCGACTCGGGCTTGACTTCAGTCGGGAACGTTCTCGCGTATAAGAGTCTCGTGTTGTTACACGAGACTTGTGCGCGCTCGTTGAAAAAAAGAAAAAAAAAAAAAAAAATGTAAAAATTTTTCACGCCGATGCGTTTGGAGATCAAGTTGTCCGTTGCTTGATAACCGATCAACCGATTTTTACCTTCGTTTTTAACGCGTTCAACAAGCGGTGATTTCGAAACTCGAGATCGCCACTCGAACGAATACCTTATAATTTTCAGACGTCTGTATTTAAATCAGTTTAATCGTGACGTACGCAAAAAACGATGTCGCGATCCATGCCTTTTTCTTCTTGGCCCGGGATTTTTTTTTCACGAAAATCACTACCACTACTACGTTCGATTCGACGAATATTCTTTTTAACGAACTCTATTATAATTCGATTAGCGGCGTGTCATATTCCCCTTGCATATCACGCGCTCCGCGATGTCGTTTTGTCAAGGTAATCGCGCATGGTCGACGCGACCAACGCGTCGAAGCGGACAGGCCGAGTTTGCCGAGAATCACCCTAACCTCCATCGCACAAGATTCGATCAATCTCCTCGACGAGTTCATTCGCGAGATATTCCGAGAAATCGAAATGTCGAAATCTTACGCGACGATGTCACCCTCTCGAGAAGGAAACCATCTCTCCATAGGATTCGAAATTCGAACGATACGCGCGCTCCTTTCTTCTTCTTTTTCCTCTCGCGTCTTCGTCCACGGAGGAGATGTTCTTGCACGAGGATTGTGATTAGGCGTCCCGGTCGAAATGACTCCGCAAATGGAACCACTTTGGCGGTGGTCTCCACGCGATGAAGGAGAAAAGAGAGAGAGAAATAATTACACCGTTCGCGAATCCATTTCGATGAAAGTTGTTCGCCGTCCGTCTATCGAGAGGATTCGTGCTTCCCGATGAAAATTCATTCTTTCCTCTCCTTCCTTACGTACTCGTGTACGTAATTATTCCCGTCGTGTGCCGCGCAAAACGTGGATGGAACTTGGCATCCTGTAATTAAGCTAGCGAATCTCCTCGTGGAATTATCCGCAACCGTACGTTTCAAAATCATGCGAAAACACGGTCGGTCAGTCGGTCGGTCGGTCGGTCGGTCGGTTCACCATCTCGGAAGATGGATTCTGGAGAGAGAAAGAGAGAGATCGTCGCGTCGAGGAGCACTTTCACCGCTCCGTGGTTTTTCTTCGTCGGGGGGAAACACGAACGGACGTTGTTTATTGTGCACGGGATCGCAATGCCCACAATGACGACGATCACCTGCTAGTTTCGTCCTACATTCTTATCGCGAGCTCAACCCGCTCTCTATCTCCTCGCGTCCTTTTTAACCAGCCAGTTTATTGGTTCGCCGCGCGGCCAACAATGGGTCGTAACGATAGGTTGCGAGCCAGATCCGTGGAATAATTTTAATTTAGACCGCGTGAGAAAGTAAGGGAATGGTGGAGTCGCCAACTCCCGATCCGTGGAAGGAAAAGTGGATGTTGAAGAGGTTGAAGTAATCGCGATTGTACGAACGAATGTAACCAGAACGATTTACAGATACGCTGGTTAAACAATCGTTGGAAAGGCAACGCGAAAGAATCTGCTCAATTGAAGAAAGAACACGCAAGGATTTGATGAATCAAACTTTGGCAAAATGAACGGTTTGAGGCAAGCGCCAATGTTTCATTGTAAAAGGCGAACGATTTGACTCAATTACCTTAGCCAGCCTTTTCGCCTCGTTATTATGCCACTAAGTTCACCGTGTTTTAATGCGCTACCGTTTCTCGTTCCATCCTCCTTGGAGGTATACCGCACGGCATAAGTTTTACGCGACGAAACAGTCCATAAAGGGAGTCAGTCTGCCCTCCCTTCGAACCGATCTGCAACCTTTCAATTTCGCTCGGCGTTTATTTCCAACGTTCGAATCCGACGACGAATGAGAGAATTAATCGATTCACTCGACGAGAGAAATACTTTGATTATATTATATTTCCCGATATGGAAAATTAAAGAAAAGTTGTTGATTGTTCGATTAGAACCGTTTCTCGTGCGCGATCGGTTGAATAACGAAAAAAAAAAAAAAGAAAAAAAATTCAACGAAGACACTCGTCGTGAAAGACGATCGTCGTTTCTACGATCATTATCTCGATCATCGTATTAATAATTAAGGATCGGAGTGGAAAGATTTCTTCTTCTGAATTAATTAACAAGATTCGAAATTACAATTTACAATGCGTAGAATTTATAAAAAGAAACGAGTGATAAGTAAGTAAGTGAAAAACAAACAGCATCGAAAGTGGAAAGAATCGTCACGTTAAAGGAATCCAACGGTACTCGAGTTTACGATGTAAGCGATTCGAAACAGATTACCGCGTTTTCCAGCGCGGAGCGGATGAGGAGAACGATCGAGGATGGATGCTTATCAACCGGGTCCACGCAACAACGAGCGGTTTCACCTCGTCCGGTTTCAACGTTCAATCGGCCGTGAAAAAACGGAATCAACAACACGGGATCGGAAAAGCAACAAGCTCGATTAAAATCGGTGATAACGGTACCGCACGAATAAAATATAAATTCCTACGAAGATGAAACGGTATTGCCTCGTTTAAATATTCGTTTCACGTATGTATGAACGTCTGGTACGCCTTATATATACACATAACATTTCGCGAAATCGCGAATCCAATTCCTTTCCCCCCTCCCCTATCTTTTGCATTCGTCTGTCGAGCCCGTCATCCGTCGTTACCATAAAGTTTATCATCGTCCGTGTTCACGGGGATAATCGACTGGGTATAAGGTAATCGGCGTGGAAAATTTATCGCCGACAGAGGCGCGATCCCGAGAAGTCGTTTTCCAATGTTAAGAGGTGCACGGCCGCGAGAGCGAGCGAGGCGTGTGAGGCCGCCAGCCACGAGGGGAGGACGGGGAGGAGGAAGAGGAGAGGGAGGAGGAGTTAACTCACGGGGATTAGAACTCACGATTGTCGAGAGTGAGAGAGGGGAATCGAAGTTGGTGGGTCTAAAGTTGAAGGAAGACGAGGGGGCAAGATCGAGAGAGAGAGAGAGAGAAAAAGAAGGAGATGGAAAAGGATACGGGAGTCACACGCGCGCGAGTCGAGCAGAGAGAGAGAGAGAGAGAGGAGGGAGAGAGGTGGAGGGGTGAGCTCGACGATCGTCTATAATCGAGTTGACCGTGAAATTTTCATTACACCTTTTCTGAGTTATGCATATAAATAAGGAAGGGAGAGCGGGTCGGTGTGCCGGGAGCGAAGAACGTGGCAATGCCTTTGTTAGCGGAAGGTTAATGGTTAAGAGACCCCCGGCTATCTTACCACGCTGACAGGAGTCTCGTTAACGATTACGATAACTCGACGGGCCTTCTTTCGGGGAGGGGGATGCGTAGTCGGATACACGGAGCCAAGGTAATCCGGAATTCACGGGCCCGATTTCGTTCGTTCGAATCGACATCCGTGTGGAGAAAAGTGTCCGTGGTACTCATCCCTCGGTTCGCGTGTTCCCTGCCAAACAAATTTCGTTCAACCGAGTTGCCTCGAATGGAGGCAACTCGGTCGGTCGGTCGGTCGGTTCGCGAACGTGACGACCGCAGAAAACTTTAGTCCGTTCGGCTAACGAGCGTTTTAACTCGAGAAAGTTTGCCAGGGTGGTCCGTAACGAGTCGAAATTCCGTAGGAAGCGAACGAGCGCGGCCGTGTGGACGATTCAAGGCTGTGTACGAGGCGATGCTGACCCAAGGATGCTGATGAACGTGAAACGTGTCTTCTGTGTTGTCGCTGATCATCGTGAAAAATTAACGTATTTCTTATTGTCCGGGTCCCGGTGTTGGCAAGGTCTCGGGCCGCGTGTAGGATGCGCGCGTCGTGTTTTCTCCGTGAGTCATCACCGCCGATCCTGGAAACCGTAAGTTGCGTAAGTTTTTCGCGCTGCAAACGTTCTAATTGCTTTTAATGGCGGCCAGTTTCCCCTCGTAGATAACTCGTCGAAGATCGGTTCCACCGGTTAAGCTATGTTACGTTCGCTCGTTTTTCCGCTCTTTTTCTTCTTTCTTCTTCTTCTTCTTCTTCTTTTTCTCTCATTCTCATCGAATTTTCTGCGATAATTCAGTGGATCGTTTAATAAACGCGTGAAACTTTGACACGTTGAGTGGTTTTAATAAGCGCCTTGGAGACTTTAAGAGAAACGAGTTA